AAACTATATGCACAGATCTGCATGTTTGCATGTGCAGGAATTTGTTTTATATATACTATAAATGAAAATAAAGATCACCTTCCACCATAACACCTTCTAAACCCTCTTTTTCCGCTTCCTTTTTCAACTGCTTCTCTCCATGTTCATATATGGCAGTGGCTGAACTATGATGAGTCTCAATAAAGTATGCTTCATTTGTCTCCCTAAAGAAAAATAAACTGCTAAAACAGAGGGAAAAAAGATGCTAATGGGTATGTTTTAATCCTGTGTCTTTCTGTTCTCCCACATCTTTTTGAATATAATAACAAAATAATCATGTTCATTATGTATGTTAGTCAATGATTTTCTGTTTTATTTTGATAGTTTGTTGTCTTCTGTGTCTTATAGCTAGTTCCACTTCACCTGTCTTGTGGTCTTGAGTGTTTTGTGTCTTGCTACCTGTGTTTCCCATTTTCCTCATTATCCCTTAGTGTGTCTGTGTGTTCATAAATAGTCTTTTTTTCCCCTCCTTTGTCCTTAGTCACAGTTACTATCATGCTCACATTGTATTTCCGTGTGGCATTTCTTTTTCTGGGTTTGTGTTTATGGAGTTCTGGATTTTTATCCATAAACCTGTGTTTTATGTTTAGTGAGTCTTTCTTCATGTGTCTGCGTTTGGGTCCTCATTTTCCAAATCCTGACATTGTTTTCCACAACAGTTCGTTTTGCTTCTGTCCAGAACGTAGGGTTAGTGGCTTGAAGCTAGGCTTAAGGACATGATGGATGATGATTTACCTCACAAAGTTAACATGCAAACAAAAAATAAAGTGAAAACATGAATTAATTAATTTAAGATGACATATTTCATTAACTGACTAACATAAAATATGTTTTTACTTTCTTTCTTTTTAAATGATTTGTGTTTTACACATGGGAAGCTTTAGTTTATAAAAATCTAATTATCAAATCTGATACATGTATTCATTTCTGATACAGGGGGAAATGGTGCTACAGGTGGTTAATGTGAGCACTTTTATTTTTGCTTCATAAAACATACTATTTACAGATACTCTTAGAAAAACCTTCTGATGAGCGGTGCTTTTTGTGTTTGCGTAACAAACTATTTATAAAATCATCTTTCCGTTATAAAAGATAAGCATCAGTTCAAACCTATAGCTCGACTCAGATTGTTATCAGGGCTGTTTCTACAGCCTGTTGCATTTTGTCTCCACGTTGTCCTTCAGGTCTCCCTTTCGTGAGTGCTACATTGTTTAATAGACTTTTTTTGTAATGCTGACTGTTTTCCTGTGTATGGCTATTGCTTTTTTTTTTTAACTAATTTGAACTGAGGGTTTTACCCTGTCTCTATGTGTTCTGTGTTTTTGACCTCCTCCTGCAGTGATGGTGAATAACAACTTCACCATAACAAAATATACATAAATGAATAAATAGTGTTTTACCAACCAAACTTTGATTTTTAAATAATATCCAAGCATAATGGATTATTGCTGCTATCATTTTGGTAATAGCAACTTGGGAATCATTCAGTCTGATAGATGTAAATATATAAATGCTGTAATAGATTAAGAGCACTTGAACATGTTGTCCTACTCAAGGACCATTTAAACCTGCATACCAACTTTGCAGCCAGTAAATAAGAAAATGTAGCTTTTGGTCATACATTGTCAGTATATATACTAAATGTAATGTCAGCATATATCAACATGGTTCTACAAAACAAATTACGTTCTTTCATAGCAAATACAGTTCAGTTCTTAGAGGAAATACAGTTCACCTCACACCACACTGGTGATTACTGATGGTACTGTTGGCTAAATCTGAACTTTTATTTTTTCTTTCTCTAGTACTAGTATCAAGTTTCTATTTGTTACGTCCCCACAATGAGGTCTAGGGGTATGAGTGTGGGGACCGGTAGCAAATGGGTCCAGAACCGAATGAAAGGAAACCAGACAGAGTGCTCAGTATATATTATAGCTTTATTACAAACAATCTTAACTTAAAGAGCCGGCAACACCGTTTTACCAATAATGCCAAAGAAACAAAGGAAGCAGTCGCAGCAACAAAGGAAAAAACTACCAAACAAATGAGGGAAACACTCCTCATCACGGGGAGACACTTCCGGAGCCTACAAGCCCATCTACTCACGACTCGAAGGAGCCTGTCCAAAGCCTAGGGGAAAAACGTGCAGCGCCACAGGGGGAAGAAAACCAACTCACTCACAGTTCATCCCCAGCTTATATAGCCTCAGAGAGGTGATTGCTGACTGGGCCCAGGTGGTAAATGAGGCTAATCAAAAGCAGCTGTGTCCTGGGGAGAGAGAAGAGTGAGAGAGAGACAGAGGGGTGGAGCAAGAGAGGAGGAGGCGGAGAGAGAACACCACAGCTACACAGGGGCAATTTCAAGAGGAGGCCCTGCTAGGGCCCTAACCAGCCATTTTGATTTTTAAATGCATATTAAATTCATTTTGAAGCATATATTTGTGCAACTACATTGTTTCACATTATTTTTTTTATAGATAAGATTTACAAGCCATGTAGAGAAATATCAAATTCATACTGAAGCACATATTTGTACAAATTCATCCCTCATTTCTGTTTCCTTAACAAAGATATAAATGAATGTGAAAATTACAAATGGTGTGAAGAAATTACAGTCTGCAACAACACAAATGCAAGTTTCCACTGCCAATGTTCCCTGCTTGTTTTTCAGCTCTCTCTTTCTTCCTCGCCATGGTGCTGTTGGTATCCGCAGGCTGCAATCCAGGATTCAGCATGAAGAAAAAACAATGCATGGGTATGAAAAACTTTACAAAACAAAACATCCAACACTTATGTGTGCATTTTCATTTAAAAAATAAAAACATATAACATGTATAATCTGTTAAAATTATTTTTATGAAATATCAATAACAAGTATGTATATCAAACTTTTTATAGCATCAAAATTCATTTTGAATTTAAAATCTATATTAAATTCATATCGAAGCACATATTTATACAAATACATCCTTTTGCATTTCTGTGTCCTTAACAGTGAGTCTAACAGTGAGTTACAGTAAGTCAGCAAATAAATGATTAAGTGTTGCTGCATCTAGCAACCAAAAGTTTTAAACTGGCAACAGTTTTCTTTCATGGAAAAAAATAAACTGTAAACACAACACAGGTGTTTCATTCTCCACCCCCACCCCAAAAAAGAAAAAGATGCAGCAAATTTCTGAGCATATTCAGCTGACTGGGTAACAATAAATTAGTTATTGGTTTCAAAGATTACACTAAATTTCTTTCTGTTTTTAAATAGCCAACTTTATACTGCATCCATCAGCTGTCAGTTAGGAATTCAAAGTAAATGGACTGTGCACCCTCCCAGATGTAATAATGGTTTGTTTTTGTGCTCTGGCATGTTATGTTTTCTCACTCATAGGAAGCACAGTTCTCCAGACACCAATGTGCTGTTTATTTAGAATCATATTTAATGTGAGGAAATTAGGATAGAGAATGAGGGCCTTTGCTTCTTCTTCCCAGACCTTTTACTATCACAACTATTTTTGTGCAATTTATATGATAAACAAAATTCATAATCAGAATAAAACAT